TCTGTCACCCTCTGACAATATTGCATATGTTTTTGTTGTAAAATGATACTATGGTGGGTAAAGAGCAATATCTACTTGAAGACCTGTGAAATTCACCAAGGTCTCCAGTTGTGCCACATTTAGAATTTCCAAGATCAGTGGGAAACTAATTCCTAGTTTCAATTGTGCACAGTTAAGCTCGTGTTTTACAATAGGGATATGTTTTTGGGATGGAAGAGACAAATTGATGCAAGTGAAGTAAGAATCGACTTGTTAATTGTATCCTGCCTCTGCAATGGGGTATGTTTTGCGAAGTGAAGAAAAAGATATATGACTGCAATATTGTCAAAACATCTGTAGTAATAGGAGGAGAGGGAAATGAGGAAAGGTGTGACTTGAAAGCTCAGAAAATGCATATTGTTTAACAGTTGTACTTCTAGCAGCCTCTAGCAGTGCACCAGTAACACCATCATTTCAGCATTCAAACCTAGACCAGTTTACAGAAGTACACTGTAGTCAGTGATTATAAATGCCTCCAGGACATTTCAGCAGTTTCATCAGAATTCCTGTACCATAATAAATAAGCCTGTAAATATACATAAATTGAGGCTTAATGTTCTTATTGGAATTCTGATGACAACAACTCAAGTTTCACTCTCATAATTGTTGATGCATTTGGATGTAGCCTAGGTGCAGAAAATAACATCTTTTGTGTTATTTCATCTATTTGATTTAAGGAGTCTGAAAAAATATCATTCTATCCTGTGCTGTAGATGCCTGTGAAGTCTTAAAATACTGAAGAAAAAGTGTAAAAAAAAAAAACAAAAACCAACAACAAAACAAACAAAAAAACCAAAACCATTCACCAGAAAACACTAGTGACTTGTAATGTTTTGAATGTCAAAAACTTGTTTACTGATTTCCTTCCTGCAAAGCTTGTTTCAAGTTTTGATGCAAATTGTGTTAGTTTTGGTGGGAATAGGACTTGTACCTCATTTTTTCTGTATAATATTGCATGTAATTGAAGCTTGAATAAAAGTTTTGTGGGTTTTTTTGTGGAAAATATACTAATGGAGCTCTGAAGTCTATGTTGTTCAGCTGCCTTTTTATCAAAACCTTAGCACAGTCCATACAGCAGTGTAACAAAAATTTATAAAGGCCTCTGAACTGTTTGCAAGTTACTGTAGCAAATCCACAATCTTACAGAAAGCATATTGAACAAAAGGGAAAATTTGTGAAAGTCATCAGCATTTATGGGTATGCATGAACACTTTCATGACTCATGTCAGCTCTCACTTGTTAGTGGAAATGAGGATGAACTAAAAAGGTCTGAAGTCGCACAAGATGCTAATTAGTCTTGTGTACTCTAGGGGTTGTTTGTGCTGGCTCAGTCAGTACATCCATCAAAGCCAAAAGAGTTTCATTTTGTGACTGTAGTTCTGAATGCTGGCAGATGAAGAAAATAGTTTCTTTGTCTTTCTGATTACTTGTATGTCACGTTGTTGATGTTGTTTCTGGCTTAAAATCAATTGGGAAGGAAGCATGACCTGAATTGCCTGAGGTAAACATTCTTTTACTTTTCATAAGCCCTGGTGTTGCATCATAGACAGTTGGACTTGATTTTGATCCAGTATTGCAACTCAGGAAGCACCTAAGCATGTTTAAGTTCCATTGACTTCAAAGGGTATGAAGATGACTTGCTCAGATGTAAACCTCTTAAATTATATACAGATGACCAAGTCAACATCATCTCAGAGATACTGTTACTAAGGCTAACAGAAATTCCACAAGTGCTAGAAGGGAGTACAAGGTAGACAGGTATAATGAAGCATAGATAAAACTCATGAGTTAATTATTAAAGAAATGTATGAACTGCTGTAGAGGGTGATACACTAGAAAGGACAAACTTTGCATGATCTCAGGGAAAACAGAAGTGTTTATGGAATCTAGAGAGTATTACACTCTGAGTCAGTTGCTAAAAACATTCATTCAAGAGGTAAGGACCAGAAACTTGAAAAGAGTTAATTGTTAGTGGGAACAGGAACTTCTCAGCCAACTGTGGAATACAGCTAAAATGAATTTCACTCTCACAGTTACTAGTCCTGAGTAAGTCTCCCTTACCCTAAAGTAAGGCTACAAGGAGTCAGATACGTTGGTCTAGGAGTCAGAGTTTGTTTAACTTGGAGAAGAGTGATCTGATTGCTATTTTGTCTACCTAATGGGCTTATAGAGAAGATGGAGTCAGACTCTTCTCAGATGTGAACAGAAGAAAAACCCCAAGAAACACAATGGGAAACAATGGAGGTAGCCTGCAGCAAGGGAAATAGTAATTAGATACATAGAAAAATTCTTTGTGGAGGAGACTGTGTTTGTGCAGGTTACCCAGAGAGGTTGTGATACCTCAATTTTTGAAGATTTTTGATGCTTGACTGGAAAAGGTATTGTAGTGAGGGTGGGTGTGTGAGGTAATGAACATTTAATACATTTCTTGTATACCTTTTTGGAGGTTGATACAGCATAAAAGGCAGTGGAGGATATGGCAGTACATGATATCTATCCACACAGATAAACTTTGTGAAGTGTTCCCATTAGTAATCCCTTATTTTTGACATAATCTTTCTGAATTCAGAACAGATGCTTCATTTAGAGCTGTATAAACCCAAAAGGAGTGAAGAGAAGAAAGCCAGTCCCCATGCACAAGTGACTCTGGAGAACAGCATTTCCTTGGGAAACTGTATAAAGGGGACTCTATTGAATTGGTGACCAAATGCAAACTTTACCCCATAATCCTCCTCTCAGAAATACAGAATCACAGAATCATCTAGGTTGGAAAAGACTCTGAAGATTATCCAGTCCAACCATTAACCTAACACTGACAGTTCCCAACTACACCTTATCCCTCAGTGCTGTGTCAACCCGACTCTTAAACACCTCCAGGGATGGGGACTCCACCACCTCCCTGGGCAGCCCATTCCAAAGCCCAACAACCCGTTCTGTAAAGAAATGCTTCCTAATATCCAGGCTAAACCTTCCCTGGAGCAACTTGAGGCCATTTCCTCCTGTCCTATCGCTTGTTACTTGGTTAAAGAGACTCATCCCCAGCTCTCTGCAGCCTCCTCTCAGGCAGCTGTAGAGGGCGATGAGGTCTCCCCTCAGCCTCCTCTTCTCCAGACTAAACACCCCCAGTTCCCTCAGCCGCTCCCCGTACGACCTGTGCTCCAGACCCTGCACCAGCTCCGTTGCCCTTCTCTGGACACGCTCGAGTCATTCAATGTCCTTTTTGTAGTGAGGGGCCCAAAACTGAACACAGGAATCGAGGGGCGGCCTCACCAGTGCCGAGTCCAGGGGTCAGATCCCTTCCCTGTCCCTGCTGGCCACACTATTTCTTGGCCCCCTGGGCACACTGCTGGCTCCTGTTCAGCTTTCTGTCAATCAACACCCTCAGGTCCCTCTCTGACTGGCAGCTCTCCAGCCACTCCTCCTGAAGCCTCTCATCTTTTTTAATCTCCAAACCCTATTCTTGGTACAGCACAGAGGCTCCTTCCCATCTATCACACTTAGATGTCTTCAAAGGAAAGCGAGTCCCATGGGAATGCTATGCCACTGGCTCTCATGCTGCAGCTAGGGCAAAATCCACCTGCCACATTCTTGTGCTCCCTAGTTTACATATACTTTAAAAGTAACTTAAACTTAGAAAGTAGGATGCTAGACACTTTAAGTCAACACAAACTGTCCAAGTTTAATTGCACTAATATGGTTTAATACAAATATAGAACTTTAAAATATTCCTTTTTACATCTTTATTTAACTCAGGTGGCTTGATTTGGGGCATGACCTCACTAGCACAGGTAAATGAATAGTGAATTGCTAATACTATAAATATGCTGAAGAACAGTATTATACATGCATGTAAGCAATTTCTAATCCAAGTTTCATGTTTTCTACTGAGAGGAACAAACTGTCCCTTACACTTTCTAATAATCTTATGGAGATAATATTGGTAGGATAAAATTTTAATTTCTCTCTTTAGCATTAATTACAAATTTAAATTGTGAATTGTCAGTTGCCTTATTTGAAGACATAAATGCCCAGAATTTTGCATGTGATTTTTTTCTGAGATAGCTCAAACTGAGATAATGAGTAACATTTCCTTACTTTTTTGTCATCATAATTCTTCTTAAGACTTATATTCAGAAACCTTCATAACTCTTCACTTAGCTTAGAAGGCAGGCATTATAAGTAGACACCTTTAAACAAGTGGAGCATGATTGATCCAAGAGCTCGTAGTGAACTATAGGAAGATTTACGCTCATTCACAAGATACTGCTTTTGGGCCACATTTATTTAGGTATCATCATGGGCAAAACTGTAACAAGTATTTCCTACCTACTAGTAACGAGATGTTACTAGTGCTACAATAAAACATGCCTATAAAATTTAATGACCTCCCCTTCCTGAAATCAATGTACACAAGCATTCTTTGTTCAAATCCCTGTTATTTAGTTTAGGAGAGGTGATTTTATATGTCCGTGCCCATTGTCCCCAAAATTCTCCAGTCATGGTGCGCTCCTATTGTATTTGTGATGCTGAGTCTGATGAACTACTGAAATATTTCTTTGTGATGTTCTAATCTGCCTATTACTGCAGATTAAAAAGTTCATTTTAACTGTGTTTAAGAGATCCCCAAAATTTTGGAAATGTTAGTAATCCATATAAATACTCAGAAGTTACTTTTTAACATTTATTTTCTTAGCATGATCCCATCAAAATGACATAATTTTAATGAGACACTTTACAAACAATATGTTAACTGACCTAAAAATATACTGATTAATCAGCAGACTCTTATGATTCCTTTACTGTTTTCATAGAAATTACCATGTTTGCATCTTTCTTGAAAGAGGCTAATCCTTCTTGAACTAGCCATCCAAAGTTTCCACCAAGTCTTTATAAGGTAAATACAGTAGGGTGATTCAGACCAGACTGAGCTTTCAAATCTTTTACTGCTGGTTTTGTTTCAGGATGTGTTGGAAGCTGGGATAACATCACGTGTTGGCGTCCTGCGAGGATTGGAGAGACTGTCACTGTCCCTTGTCCAAAAGTATTTAGCCTTTTTTCTGGCAAACCAGGTATTTCATTTTAAGATGTATTTTTGCTGGCTTCTCTTTGGTATTTTATAACATAATGTGCTAAAAATGGTTTATTTGCAGTTTAAGGTTTTTATTTTCTTTTTAAAGAGTTAAAATAATAGGTTCTTAACAGAACTCTTCATGATATATCATGTAAACATAAAATAATTGTGTTCCATGTGGTGTTCTTTGAGTCAGATACTAAATATATATTCTGGTATAGTGACACCATGGCTGAAGACAGTTTGCTCTTTTTTACCTATTAGTGTTAATTATTAAGGCAGCTGAGCTTGACTGATGTCTTTAACAGTTTCAGGTCACATGCAGGTAACTCCTTCTGTGCTTAGGAGGGGAGCTCTTCCTTGCCTGCATGACAATAATGAACCAACATTAACATTTAACACCTAAAAATTATCACTATTGCTGTTTAAGGTTGTTATTATAAAACCTTTTATTCTGTTTTTTAATGGAACTTGAAGAGAGCTCCAGGAACTCAGATTGCTGAAATGTTTAGCTGTTTTAAGTCTACCATCCTCTGTACCATCTTGTCAATACATTATATTATCGTTTGACTTTGCACTTTGGCTTGTGAGTGAGGCTTTAAAAATAGATGATGCACACACAGCATTTCACATATGTATCTCAAAGCAGAGCAGGAAAAATCTTATCTGTGTTGCACAGGTGAGGAACCTTTATCATGAAGAGCTGGTGAAAGATGCAAAACTTATCACAGTGATTTAATTCATCTTTTGAGGTCTCTGTAGAGACCATTGTAACAATATTACTTTTAACATAGAGGCTAACATGGAGTATGACTAAAAGACCTTTATTCTCAAAACTGCTGATTAAGTTTCCTTCCCTAAAAAATAGATAACTAAAACAGTCTACAGATGAGAAAAAAGGTTTTCATTCTTGGAGCTGGTGAATCTTGATTATTTTATCATGATGGTCTAAACAGTTTATAAAGGAGAAGGTATGTGTAATCTTCACTAAATGTTGTAAAATCTATAACAGTATTCAAATAACTCAAAGATTTTAAAGTGTTGTCATGAAACAGAGAGGACTAATAAATATCAGCAATTGAAAATGTGAATTAAATCAGCTGCTTCTATCTGTTTGCCAGAAGATAGAGCATGCACACTGTCTCTGGAGTTTGGATGTTTGATATTTAACAACTGTTAGTACCTTATATTACAGTAACATTTTAATTTTCCTATAAAACATCTATAATAAATATTTAAATCTAAAACCTTCACATTACAACTGTATCTCACTTGGGCATGTTGTCATTAAGACTGAAAGATCACTTCCTGTTTATAGTTTGCTATAATTTTCTTGTGTGTAGCTTTTTATATAGTTACTTGTTTACTTCTTCCTTGTGGAGCTAACAGGATCATTTGTTAGAGGCATCTGTTAAGAGGATTTTTAAAAATCTTGTCTTTCTATAACTTCAGAGAAGGAAGGCAGCAAACATCTTGTATGGTTGATTCAATTAAGATCTAATTGTGTCAGCACCCTTATAATTCAGTTATGGTCAGGAACATATAATTTATTTAATTCATACACAACACATGTGAAATTCACTTGATTCTTATGGCAGGAAATTATTAAAATATCTTTAAATTTAACTCTTTATTTAGCCAGATTTGTGAAATGTATGCTTTAGTTTCCTCAGGATTTAAGAGGAATTAAAATTATACTACAAGATGATCTAGACTACCTTATTTTTTATGGAAGCATTCCAGATCACAACTAGGCTTTTAAATACCATCAATTCTTTAAAGGATTTCTCAATTTAAATTGTGAATTAAAAAAAGTAGTTGTCTTATCATCTTTACAACTTTTGGAGGACTGGCTGTTAATTTCTTCTTTGATGTCACGGAGATAGTTAAAGTATACCACATAATTAATTCTCTATTGAATATTTGTAACTTCATATTAAATTAATTTTTACTGTAAAAGTAATCGTATTATCCTATAATGGGTTTTTTTTTTTATTGTACATGATAATGTAGGTATCAGAGAGTTATTTTTTATTTTATATATGAGTATCAGAAAGTTATTGAATTAAAAAGTGCATTTTTAATTGAAATATATGTGTCAAGTTGTAGGTTTTAAATGAGGTCGACATCTGAAATATTTAATTGCATGGAACAATACTATAGAAATAAACAATGTCTTCCATAGGATATTGCCTAACTGTCTTTAAGTTAGAAGACCTTACAGTATTTTCAGTAGAAAATATTTCAACATCTTGAGTACATAGTCTTTTTCTTGCAAAACTAGCTTTGACGTAATTTGTGGTTCTTTTAACACATTCCTGTGCTCTGCCTCGTCAGAGAATCTTGATGTACTTTTAAAGTGAAGACTCTTCAGAATGCATAAATAAGTTACATTTTCTTTAAAAAATGCCATGTCTATGCCAAATGGCAGAAATGGTCCTTGTTGTTTGAGGAGACACTGTAGTTTGAGGTCAAGGCCTTGTTATAAACTAGAAAGATTTGGTTGTTCGTTGGTCAGCTGTTTGTAGGATATTTACAACTTTCCACTGAAGACTTTATACAAAGAAGAAATTCCAGTAACCAATAGCAAGATAAAAATCAAAGCTTTAGTTTGGAGTGTATATAAACACATTTGGTTAGTCTTGGCCAAAGTTGATCTGGGACACATAAATTTGTTCTTGTGGTGAAAAACAGGCATCTTTAAGTCAGTGAGAGACTACTCCAAACCAAAGCAGTACATTATTATAGATTTCAAATATAACGGATATAACAGTTGCTGTAAGAAGGGCAATGGGCAGTTGCTTATGACCTAACATTGTAAGAGTAAGTTATAATAATTTTAATGACTATTCCTTATTCTCACATCAGACTCTTCAGTTTTCTCCTATTGAAGCTGATCCATATTGTATGACTTTTATTTCGTATTCATTAGATTAAAGAGTAGAATTCTGGGTTGCCTCTTCTCGTCTGCATGACATTATCTGCAAAAAGAGTCAACTTCTCCTTTCAGTTCCAACCAAAATGTCCTTTCTGAAATTAATAGATGTTCAAAATTTCTTTCCAACCATCCTTGTACATCTCCTGTATGTTCCTTAGACTACATTGTTTCAGTGTTTGGTTCAAAGGGTGGGATTTGGCATGCATATTTATTTCCCTGTTCTTCAACCTATTATATAATTTGGCCTTTAAAGTGCGTTACCAACTGTACCAACATTTGCTGTACCAGTAATTCATCACCATAATAAGAGCTTTTATAACTCTTCAGTAGATCATTTGCTATTGCCTTCTCAGAAAAGCTTAGATAGGCTAGAACAACTCTCATTTAAATTACTTTTCTACCAGATTACCTACAAATTATCCCCTTTATAGAGTGACCTGAAAGACCCCTTCAGAATACTTTAGATAAAACAGCAAAATATTACAGGCTTTTGCAGATGTAACAGAAATAGCTGTTATACCAAAGCAGAAGCCTGCCATCACAGCTTGGAATTACGTTTGTACTCTAGTGCAAAGGCAACTCAGAGCAAGAGTAAAAACCAGGTAATATGAATGAACAGCACATGAAATGACTGAGTTGCTTTAACAGGAGTGCTAGAAAATGCAGGATGTTAACAGAATGACAAAATTATGTTGTCTAAAGACTCATTGATGAGGAGACTTTGGAATCCTCATGATTTAAATTCTCAAATTTTGCTTTACAGGAAATATTAGCAAAAATTGTACGAGTAATGGGTGGTCAGATATTTTTCCTGACATCTTAAGTACTTGTGGATATAATGACTATGAAGATGATTATAAGGTAGGAAAAATACTTTTTCTATTCATTTAGATGCTGGTGTTCAATACAGCTATCAGACATACTGCTTCTAAATAGTACCCATTTTACTCTGTTAGAATTAATGAAAATCTGTAGTAATTTTTGGTAGTATTGATTGCCATATGCTTGGGTTGCAAATGTCATATAAGATAAAATCAGAAATATAGAATTCAGTAACTGTTCGAAATTCAAGGCGATAAATGCTTGGTAATTGCAGTAATGCATCTGTATTTCTAATACTGCAGTGGCACTCAGCTTGTGCAAAATATGGTTTGCATTGTGTTATTTCTAGAAGTTTCTATCATAACAAATCCTACTACTGTAAGAATCAGTTAATAATACATGCACCACTTGATACCAGTGTATTGTTTAAGTAAAATAGAATTAATTTAGGTCATTGAAATTATTGCAGATTTATATTGGACCTTAGCAACTAAAAGTCATTCAAAAAGATATCACGATATCTTAAGTACACTGTAAATGGAAAAATGAATTTGTTCACGTTGCAGATACTCTTTTTTGTTCTTTTTGATGAGGGAAATAATTTTTCCATCATGTTTTGCCTATTTTCTATCTGTTTTCATGCTAAGGCTAACAGAGCAAGATTTTGTTTGCAAGCATGAGCTCACAGTCTCAGTAAAACTCTTAGCATGCACAGATTAAGTCCTCTCATGAATAAAGGTACTTGTCTGGTTGGATTTTTCTGGGTTTTAGTACGTGTGGAATAGCACTAGCAAATCTCTTCTGTCTGTTTTGCAGAGATGTTCTGTCATTCTAGCTAAGACATGCAGTTCTTGCCATCTCTTTCTGTATTTAAAAGTCCAGCCATTACTGTAGTTGAAAATAGATAATAAAGAAAATGGATAGAATATGTTGTTTTCCCAGCTTTTTTGAAGACACATTCTAAAACATCGGTATCATCCGACAGTTTGGGAACACACATGCATTGCTGCTAAAACAGCCATTTTAAAACACTGTCATTCAACCCAGACATTATTATGTGGAGTGAAAATGGGTCAAGACTTAAAAATTCAAATTAACAAAAAAATAACATTTCAAGTAGTGAGAAATACTTAATTAACAGATGAACTAGTATAATAGAAAAGCAGTTCTTGTTTGACATATTCATTACTAATTTAATGGAGGAGAATGAAATGTGAGTTGACCATACTTGCAGGAATGAACCTAGAGAAAATGGAAATAGGAAGTAGTAGCAACATTTACAAAAGCCAGGTAAAAAAAAGCAAATAAATTAGGATAAAAATCAGAAGAGAGATGTGGAAAGTGGATACTAAAAATATTATTAACAAAAGTACAATAGATAGAATATCATAGATGTCTAACATTGATAGTATATGAAATAAATGCTTAGCATGTTTCAGGGAGGGAAAGGGAAAATACAAGAACTGATTGTATTTGAAGCAGCATTGCCTGAGGGTCCTGTCCTTTTTTCTCAAATACCAGTGTCACTGCTTAAAGAATATTCTTTGTCTGAAGATCATAAACTGGTTATTTCAGTGGGACAAGACAATAATCCTTTTCTAACCTTAAAGCTGACAAGTCAAAAAAGTGGATACAATAGTGCTGGCTTGTCAGAAGGTAAGCTGTTCCTATGCAGATATTATTTTTTTTGTAGTTAAAGAAATTACAAAAGTCATCAGAGTAAAATCTGGAAAGGGAGAAAGGAAATCATATGTTTAAATCTGTCTCTTCATGGGAGACTATAAAAAATGCAAATATCATGCAGTTGAGAGATTTCAGGAGGTATTTGAGGTTCTACATCAGCCAACTGTTACACAGAAGAAAGATATTTTCTTGAATTCAGATCTTAGTCTTCAATGGTAGAACCTCAAAATAAAAATTCTTTACTCAACATAAATCAGTATATTTCATTTATATTTGACCTAGAATTTCAACAAAAAGATCTAAAAATGATATCCTAAGTATCTGGATACAAAATACTTTGGACACTAAAATGTTATGCAACAATATGCTTTGTGGATGATGTATGAGGTTGCCCTCAAAGTTACAGTAACTAAGAAGATCATATTTTAGGGAAGGTGGCAAAATACTTTTCTTATGGCAAGTCTCAAGTTTTCTTCTATATGCTTTCTCTGAAGACAGTGTTAAAGGAGAAGATAGAAACTGTCTTTGGTGTGAGTTTGGTGCCTGCATCTTCACTGCTGAATGACTTTCCGTTATAGATCTAATTATTTATTCTTGTTTTTTTGCTGTCTTTTAGGATAAGGACTTCTGTCTTTACTTCAAAAGGAACTTATTTCTATACATATTTTATAGTTATTTTTTATATATATATTTATATTTATATATATATGCATACACCCAGACATATATATCTCTCCAGATATGCATCTATTTTGGGCAGTTTTGAATATTCTAGAGAAGGCTTTATAGAGATCAGTGAGCAAATACTGAACAGGACATTTATTAATAGATACAAAATTTTTATGATGAAAATGCACTGAAATGAGAAAGCTTATTTAAAAATACCACAAGCATGTCATCTGTTATTTCTCTGCTGAAAGAACTTGTCTGCTTCCACAGTTTGCGTTGATTTTCCTGAGAGTTAAAATGTTCGATTTTGTCAGTATACCATGTCAAATGGTATATTAGTAGGTACTATAAAAAGAAATGGTTTGCTTAACATTTTGAAATTAACTATAATTTCCTGATACAGCACTCTTAAATTGAATGTTTTATTTTATGTTAGATGTTAGTATTCTTTAGTGCTCCTACCTGTATTTATTGGGACTAATTTGACAAGTATGACAGTGTCTGAACAAATTATCTGTTCGTTGTTATCACATCAAATTGTAGATCTAAACCTTTATTTTATACTTCCAGTCTCTTTCCTATAAGTGAATTGGTTTCTGCTAACATTCAAGATCAAGTTTTAGGTTAATCTCAGTAATTCAAAGGTTTTGCGCTTTTTTTTTTTTTTCTTTTTTCTTAGTTTGTGTTGAGCTCATGGTAGCACAATGGCAAAATGAATAGCTTGATTTGACCATGCTAGAAACACACCTCAGGGTGTGTTAACCCAACCCAAGCCTCACTGCAACATTTCTTTGACATATTTTGACATCATCTATCTAGGCTGAACAAGCTAGAGATGTGTCCTAGCTGTCTTCAGAGGGTATTCAACAATCTGTCAGCATTCTTAATACACGACAAGGTGCTTGGTGAATGTAAAGGACTGAAAGATGTCCACATTATTTAAAATAATGACTGGCTCTGTTAATACAGCTTTGTCTAATCTTAGCATGAATTGTCCTGAGATTTATTAGATCACACAAAAAAACCCAAGTTACAGGCTATGTGATTTGAATGCAGAGGGTCAGACAAAGACAAATTAATGGAGAGAAAGATCCTCGGGGCTATTAAATGTGGTGATACTATTGCAGCTTGTGCATAAGTAGAAGCATCATCTATGGAAGTAGTATTTCCCTATTTGGCCACTGTCCTGAAGCATTCACTCTTAGGCTGCTGTCAGAGAGAAAATCGTGGGTGTGCTAGCCACTATGCAATACAGATACACCAGCCAAGACAAGTGGAGTCAAGGCAGTGAGGTCAGGACTGACAGAAACACTGTCTTGAATGCCGGTAGCTACCTTTAGAAAACAGATGCATTACTACTGTCTGTGAAGTGGGTCATTGCACTGGACTAATGGATTGTTTGTATTGAGTCTGAACTGAATCCTTCGCTCTCAAAAAAATGCAGTGCAGGGCAGCCATCTACCAATGCTTTTTCTGTGTGCCTGTAAGTCATGTTATATTTATTTACATTACATTCTCCATTTTTCATTACCTTTTCCATGAGATGTGATTAAGATACCACTATTCCTTAAAACAAATAACAAGATCTTCCATTGACATCAAGTGAGAAGGAGTATGCCTGAATATAAGCTGATATTCTCTCTTGTAGAGCACAGTGGGAATTTAATTTATTAATTTCAGACTGTCCAAAGACACTGCAGAATACCAGTATGCTGTGAGACTGTTCACATTCATGGATACACATATGCTGGTGCACATTTACACAGGAAAATATGGAGGTTTATGCATTTATAAAGTTGTCATATCTCCCACTATGGTTAGGGAACTTTTGAATAAGAAGATACTCTTACTGACATAATTAAAATTAATGAAGCAATTTTTACTTAAGGCAATGTTGGTCTCATCTTTTTTGAGTGATGTTTAGGCTTAAGGTGAATTGAAGGAGAATCATGTCAGAAAAGGGATAGCATTAATTACTTGCATACAGATTATTAAATACCATGAGGAATACCAGTTTTATTACATATATTTTTAGTAAATTTTACTTTTCTCTGCATGACAAAATATGTAAAAGTACCTGATAAGAAAAAAGTAAATTGTCCACAACATGTAATCCATCTGTTTATCTCAGTGTATATTTATTTACTTATAAGTAATTACTACTGTGTTGTTGAAGTTAATTTTGCAAAAGGAAAGATCTAGGTCTCTTTATTCCACTTCTATTTGCATTTGCTCATTTCAGGGTTTCTAAAGCACTGAATTAATTTGCTAGACTCAGTTTTATTTTACATTGTTTGTACAGTTTAATGTTATACGATATGTTCTTCTAGCATGACTATTTGGCTATTAGGGAATGTACTTTGACACATGTATCATAAAACTGTAAGACTACAAATTTTAATATAGTTGTAAGTAACCATATCTGTGAATATTAGACTCTTACATACAGTATTACAGCAATATACTGGCCCACAGAATAAACAAAATGAAGAGTCACTTGGAATGATAATGATTGTAAATACTTTAGTAATAATCAGTTATACTTCTGGTAAAATGAATAAAGATGTGTGGGTTTTTCTTTTACATTAAGGGTGACTTCTGGTCAATAGCAAAACTCCTTTGGACAAAGAATCAAGCCCTAAACTTTCTTGAGTGGTTTGCTCTTCAGCACTGAGTTACCCTCTCAC